TTTAAAAAAAAAAAAAAAAAAGATGCCGAAAAGAATTTAAGAACAGGGAATGGGATTTAGCTCCTGCCACAACAAGGATCTGACCCGAGCTGGCAAACAGTAAATGAATGCAGAGCTGAAGAAACGACAGCTGTTGAGCCAATCTTTCCATTCCTGAAATCTGGGCAAATTTATGTACACAGTTACCAAATTAGCAGCTGACTGTAATTAAGAATAAGCCAGCTATGAATTCGTGACACAAGTTTTGCAAATATTTCCATTTAGCACCAATGATCAGGGAAATCAATCACTGATGTGAGTCCCACCAAACAGAACCGTGAACGAATCCAAGGGGAGTCTCCCACATTCTTCAGAGACAAAATGGCACGTGCCAATCAGGTCATAATTAAAAATGGATTAAAGGGTGGAAATGGGGTCTCCCTTGAAGATTTCTATCTGCATATTTCCTATTGAGCTGTGGGGGCAGCAAAAGGGACACTCCCCAAATCTGAAGCTGTTTCTGGGAAGGGGGAGAAAACTCACGTCTGCAGAGGCCGTGTGCCGGGCACCATCCCAAAGCCCCATGACAAGTGGGGCCAGCATGACAAGTGCCCACGGTAACCCAGAGAGGTCGCCACCACGCCATTCCAGCTGTAGGACCCTTGGCTGGGAGAGGCCACAGCCACAGAATAAGCCAGAGGAACTGCTTGTTTGGATCAGATGTGCCGGCTCATCCTCTCACTGCATATGGCTTCTTCAGGGATGGACACGGTCTCATGTCTCATGAAACCAGGGGTGGGAGTGGGCCATGTGAAGGATGAGTGATCTAGGTGAGAAAGACTGCGGATGGAAGTGGAAGGAGGCATGCCTGCCCATCCTGTGGTCCTGTTAGTCCGCCTGGCTCCCCCGTTAGATGGGGACATTGGACATGGAGCTGCTTTGGCTTCCTTTACTTCTTCCCTACGGATGCTCAGGGCCAACTGAGCTAACTCCACTCCTAGCTCTGGGGAAACTGAAAAGCTTTAGAATTCTAAAGCCTTGAGAGAGACACCCTGGGATTGCGTCACATCCTTCAGAAATAGATGGAGCACGGTTAACCGCTCCACTTCCCACAATTCTTTATTGA